GGAAAGAGCTCAGCATTTCCAGAATGCTGACTGAGAACACTCCTCCTCAGTGGACTTAAAATCACCGAGTGAAGCAAGTGTGATGTTAGGCACTGACAGACAAGTCTCAGAAGATCTGAGAGCTTGAGTCAGATCTGTAGAGAGGGTGTTTAGTCCAAGTATCTAACTCTTTAGTTTAGAAATTGGGGCTGGAACTGGCCTGGTCCTGATGTCTCCGCTTCCTGTCACAGAAGTAGCAAGTGGGATATGTGAACACTGAAGGCCTGACCCAGGAGGCCCAAAACTGAATCTTGACTGTAGCTTTTCTTGCTCTAAAGTTTTTCATTGGGTTCTCCTGCTTCTTGCCAACTCGCAACTCCTTGCCCATGCTCTACAGAAAGCATTAATTGAGTGTCACTCAGCATTTCACTGAACTGATCCACTTTGGCCAGTAAGCAAAGGGACCCTGAAAGGAACCTGAAGACACTTACAGACTTGGGAGAGTGATGTTTATTTCTGCCCTCCCTACTCTCTCCCCTCAAATGATTTGTTCATAAATTTACTCATTTTTGCCCTTGTTGAGACTCAGGCTCTGAAAGTTTCACATTTTAGTTCATCCTCTCATTTTTCCAGGAAGCAAATGCCTGTCTTAGGATGGAGACCATGAAGTCCCCAGTGCTCCCTGTGGCCAATGGCCCCTCCAGAAGGTCCATTAGTCTTCAGTGTTCTTAGCCCAGCGTTTTCCTGCTGGTGTTGCTGCCCTAGAGAGGTCCTGTCAGGTGCTTTGCAGAGAGCAGTGAGTTATTTCAGGCCGCAGCTTTTTTGCTGCGATTGGATCTGATACCTGACCCGTGTCATGGTCACTTGCTGACTGACCAGGAGAGGAGGGGGATGTGGGACAACCTGTGCCAGGCACAGCCCCACTGAAGGCTGGGGAGCACTTCAGCTGCTGGAATATGTGTTTCACATAAGAATGTGCCTCCTGGTCTTGTTTAGAGGAGGGGTTATTTTAACTGGAAAATAGTCCCTGATCTTTATTTGCTAGTGGAAAATAACTGCTCATCCTGGTGTTATCCCATTGAGCAGTGTTCCAGCACAGTGAGCAGTGCCTGACAGCAGCATTGGAGGGCATTGCAGTGGTAGAGCTGCCCAGACCATTCCCCTGAGGACCCGCCTGTCCCAATGGCAGGAATTGGACACCCTTGAAGGAAAGCTGGGTGTGCTTCCCCCCCTCAGCACCCAGCTCTGCTTTAACCTGGCCATCTGTCACCTCTCCCAGAAGAGCCCCACTGTTAAATAAAGGGCTCCTTATTCTGCAGTCTGTAGCAAATGTGCCACAACCCTTTGCTCTCTGGTAACAGCTCATCTTGCTGCTTCCAAGGCTGGCTGCTGACTGAAGCCTTGTTCCCTGCTGGATATGTCCAGGGAGCTTTCTGCTAACAGAGGAAATGTTGCATTTCTCCATTAAGGGAAAGCTAAATTTAAATACTTCCTCTGCTGACAGTCTCAGTAAATGTCTCTCTCTGGTCCATTCATTAATCTGAATTCAGCCTGCTAATTTATCTCTCTCCCCTTGCAGCCAAGTGGAGCAGAGATGAGATATGGGGGGGTAGGAAGAGCTCAGCGACCTTCCCTCACACACCTGCATGTTCTCACTACAGCCAGGAGCCCTCGGAGCTGTCAGGGCAATTCCCTGAGCAAGGGCAGGGAGCCAAGGCTCCCACGTGTACTCACAGCCCCTTCTGGTAATGGGATTTGCTTTCCTGGCTGTGCCTTGCACTATCCTGGAGTGTTGTCGTGACCTCTGTCATGCCAGAGTGTCTGAAACAGGATCGCTTTGGCTTTGGTGTTAGAGGAGGGGAGTGACACAGAGGGAAGTTTGGTGAGGCTGCTCCTTAGGCAGGATGGGAAAAAGAGACTTAAAAGAGGGAATATGGAGCAAGGTGAGGTGGCTGACCAGTGTTTTTAGTATTTAAAGTATTTTAGTCTTTAAAGTATTTTTAACCCGGGCATCTCTCTCCTTCAAAGGTGGCAGGCAGAAAGGCCAGGTCCTCAACACGAGCCTGATGCACTCGGAGTCTGAGCTGGACAGTGATGAAGCCATTTTCACGTGGCCTGACCGGGAGAAAGGGAAGCTGCTCCGCAGCCAGAACGGCTCCCTGAGGAACGGACAAGTGCAGCTCAAAGCCAAGAGCCAGAGGGAGGAGATCCTATAGCTGCCCTGGGCGGCCCCGCGGGGAAAGGCCACTCCCGTCCCTGTCCTGCCAGGGCCTCTGGAGGCCAGTTTGGTTAGGACAACGCTGCTAACTTGTTTCACAGAAAATAACTTTGGTTTTGTGGGTTTCTTTTCATTCAGTTAAAACTGGTTGTACTTGAATTTGGACTCCAAGGGAAATCAAAGGGTGGAGAAGGCCACTGTGAACCCCAGCGCCAGGGACGGCAGAGCTGGCACCTGGAGGGGCAGCAGGACAGAACCACTTGGAGCAACTGCGAAGGTGCAGGACCCTCCCAGCCCACCTCAGACTGCAGTGGAGTAGACACCCATGGAATTCCAGCTCACTTGCCTGGGAGCTCCTTGGAGAAGGAAGGTCAAGGTTGTGCTTTGAGCTGTGCTCTGAGCTCCCTTCAGGCTCCAGTAGCCCACCACGGGCTGCTGCTGTCCAACAGCTTTCTTCTCTATCACTCCCACCTTCCCTAATGGTTCTAAGCACTACTTTAATTTAGACTTGTTCTTTCACATGCACTTGGCTGCTTTTGGGGTGGACTCTAAACACTATGGTCACACTTGATCAGCTTGCAGGTCGGGGAGTGTTTTGTAGCTGTTCTAAATGACTGTCAGGCTTTTCTCACTGGGAGTGTTGATGACACGGTGCCTGTTCTGATGTGAAAAGCTGACCTGTCTGTAGTAATCGGCTGGGTTAGGAGACCCCTTCCTGCAGCAAGCTCTCCTGGGTACCAGAGCCAGGAGGGGACACCCACCTTTGGTACCTGTGTCTAATGTCTGGCTTAATTCCAAAGCTGTGAGATGTTGTTCCATGGCCCCAGCACCTTCTGTTGGTCGCCAAGCCGTCCGTGAGCCTGGACATTAACCATATCTCAGTTTTGAAACACTATATACTGTGGGGTTTTTTGGTTTGTTTTTCCTTAAAATTTGCACAGCACAGACAAACGGGTTCATATCTTCAACTCCCAGCAGTTGGCTGGCAGGTCAGTGGCCTCCTGTTGTTCTGGCTGAAGAGCCCCAAACAAAGCCCACACTAGTTGGTGGAAAAGGGACCTCTGGGTGCCCGAGGGCGTCGCGTGGTGAGTGCCAGCAGCAAGAGGCTGGGTGTCTGCTGCCTGGGCTGGGGGCAGGCATGGGGCCATCCTTTCCCATACCCACTCCTTGATCTCACTGTGCTGCTTTCAGGAGCTGCACCCCTGTCCTTGGGCAGAAATTGGCCTCTTGCTGGCATGAAGGATGCCTCTGCTCCTCTCTGGATGGGTGGGCAGTTTGTTGCCTTTCGTTGTGTTTAATTTAAAAACTGGAAACTTGTTTCATTGGCTTTTTTTTTTTTTTTGAGCTATGAAAGCCAGAAGGCTTTAACTTCCTCAGTTGTATTTATGTTGCTGCACTACTGATTTGTGTTGTGCTAGATGAAGATTAAACACTATTGAATGTGAGGGAATGTTCCCTTGCTGAATGTAGTCATGGCTGCTGCTAAGTTTATTTTTCTGGGCATTCAGCTGTCTTCCTCAGGCACCAGCACTGGAGCCTGCTGCTCTCCTGCCCTCCCGACTGCCAGACACAGGGGTTGCCTCTCACCTGCCTGTGTCACAGCACGGGCCACCCTCTGCTCCTCTGTCCTGCAGGCAGCAGGTGCTCTGAGCCAGGCTGCCCCTTCCTGGGCTGCTTCTGTGCCAGCTCTCCTCGATGGCTCCTTCCCTCCCAGCCCACTGGGACCACACACAGGGTTGGCTGGCAGGGGATGCTCTGCCTCCAAGGCTGCAGCCTCCAGCTGTGCATGGCTGGACACTTAACCCTTGGGTGACACCATCCTTTGATGCATTTCCCTTTGTTTGGGTGCAAGGTGAACAGACTATTGAGAAAATGAGGTTTGGAAGCTGCAGGGATTGACCAGGTCTTGTCTTGGGACTGTGGCTTGAAGTGGTTTGTGGTGTTAGAGGAGAGCTGTTGGGCTCTTGCTGGTGCTGGTCATTGGAGCTTGTGCTTCTGAGTCTCTTGCCCATCCTGGGGATGTTTCCCCTGCGTCAGGTCGGGGCTGGTGCAGCGGTTCACACATTGGGTGTTTTAGGGGGGCAGGATACGC